CGTCACACAGGGCCCCTCCTATAGCCTGGAGACTCTACCCAATAGCACCCCGTCCCAGGGACACACAAGGAAACTGAAGCTGGAAGGAATCACACCAAGGCTGAGGAGCAGGAAAGCACAGGCAGGCAGGGTGGTGGCCTCACCTCAGGGGAACTGCTCTCCCGCAGGGCCAGCCCTGCACTGCTCAGTGGGGGAGGAGCATCTGAGTCCTCTGAGAGTTTCTCCTCATCCTCTTCATGAATGGGGGATGATGGAGACCGCAGAGTGCTGTGGAAAACAAGGGGCAAAAGGTCAGAGGACAATTGGACAAGAAAGGCCAACCCATCAGAACCACAAAGGTCCCTGCCCAGATGCCCGCAGGGAAACTGGCATATGATTACTGGGATACACAAAGAGGCTCCCTGGGAGGTGTTTCTGCCAGCAGCAACTGGGATGGTGCCCAGTAACCAGCGGTCAGCAGAGACCCACCCTGACAGAGCCCCCTTTCCTGGCACACTAGCACAGGCCAAAGCACCTTTTTATTTTTCCTTTTGCAGTTTTTGGCTGGGGCTGGGTTTGAAGCCGCCACCTACGGCATATGGAGCCCTACTCCTTTGAGCCACAGGCACCACCCAGCATCTTTTTCTTTTTAGAAGAGAAACTAACAATGACAATGGCTCCCTGGTGCAAGGAAGAAGCAGGAGACACACTCTCATGTCTCTTCCTCCAGCCTTGGAGCTTGTTCTCTGTGGGGCTCCATCATAGAAGCCCTGAGGGTGGCATTATAAACTCTGTCTCTGACTTACAATTTTCTATCAAAAAACTAACACCCATGTGGGAAAGAGTCAACACAGCAGGCTAGACGACCACTACTTGCAAGTCTGGCCCTTAACCAATTGCAGAGGAGTTAGTGCAGACAGGAGAACTCGAGCAGCTGACCTTCAGAAGGTTGTTGGTGTCAGTGACAGATGACTCGATAACATCTAGAGATGAACCACAGCCCACTGGCTCATCAGGTGTGAGCCACAAGATCAGTGACTGGCATCTCATTCATGCTCTGGCCCAAGTTTCTGTTGCCATTACTGGTCACAGGGCAGGACGTGCCTACATGCAAGTACCCCCATAAAGTCTTAGGACCATGAGATTCAAAAGGGGTCCCCTTGGCAGAGACATGGCACATGCCCTGAAGCTGCCACATGAAGAGATTGCCTGGGTGTCACCTGCGGGGGCGAGCACTGATGTAGCTGCCCCTGCTGCTTTGGCCTGTACCTTTGTTGTAATAAACTTTATGGGTCTTGTATGTCCTTCTGGTCAATCACCACATAAAACACATTTGAAATTTAAAACCACAAATAACCCTGCTTTTGCACAGATACACTGCCACCCACTGCCACGCAGGCACCCAGCCCACAGGCAGCAGGCCCCATGGGTGTCCATGCCCTGCCCAGGAGGGAGCACTAGGCCCACTGTACCTGTCAGGAGACTTGCTCCGTGGCTTGCCCTTTGGGTGGCCGCTCTCCATAATCCGATCAATCCCAGCAAGTGGACAGCTGGCCTGTGACAAGCCATCTGAGACGCCCGAGTATGTGATCTCTTCATAGAGGGGGGCTGAAGGGATGGCTGGGGAGATGGCCCGAAGGCCATTGAGTGCCTCAAGCAGGGAGATGGGCTCATAGCCAGGTGGGATGCTGTCAGAGCTCTGTGGAGACAGGACGGGTGAGGGGAAGCTGACAGGTCCAGTCCCTGCCCCCTGCTGGGCTCACGTCCCAGGGACCTTCCGCCCCCGAAGACCTTCTTTCTGACAACCTCCTGTCCACTCTGCCTTCTTGGCTGTCAGCCCGAGCATTCGTACGTGGATACCCAAATACCCACACTGGTGACCAGGGTGAGGACCAGGCCTGCCCTGGCTTCCTGTCCTGCCTGGCTGGAGGTGCAGAGCAAAGAGTTAGTGCAGACAGGAAAACTTCAGCAGGGCATAGGGAAGCCATGCCAGAGGCAAGAGAGACCAGCAGAAGAGGTACACCCCACATGGGGGACAGCCAGGCTGCCAGAAGCTCTGCTCTGACCCAGGTCTCTTGAGGGGACACACTCTAGGCTATTCTAATGGATGTCCTGGTGGAGAGCCACTTTTACCCCTCTTTGGAGGATAAAATTGACAAGGCTGAGGAAGAAGGAAGACACTCAGGTCCTGGGAGAACAGTAGTCAGGACATAGCGGGGGTGCTGCCCTGCCCTGCTCTCGCTCCCCCAAAACTAGGACAAGGGGGCAAGTGCACTGGAGCTCTTCTATAAGCCCCCTGCCCCTGAGCTCCTGGAAGGAAGCAGGGAGTGAAACGGGACAGCCCTGAGGACCATGGGGGCAGTGGGAGTAGTGGCAGAGGAATGGGCTAGTGTGGAGCGGGGGGCAGGGCAGCTTTCTGGAACTCTATCTACCACATATCTGCTCCCTCACCTGCCTTCAATTTAAAGGTAGACAATTACCCTCAATTTCTTCACCCTTCTAAAGGAAAGGACACTCTCTGGCCAATTCTTGAGTGACCTCTACCTCTCTAAGTCACACTGAGGGCACATGGGCTTCAGCTGAGGCTGCCTGGATCAACATAGGCTCCAAGTGGAAGCCTAGCCCGGCTGCTGCCTGGGTGCAGGGAGGAAGCGAGACACCAAAGTCCTTGGCTCTCTGTGGGCTCTTTGTGCTGTGGGACAGAGGAGTGGAATGGAGACCAGCAAGCGAGCGCAGGGCATGCTGCCTGCAGGGCTGTTAGTCCCACCCTCCACACCCATTCCGCTGCCAGCAAGAAAACAAAGGGAAACAGGGCACTGGGGAGACCAGGGGCAGCAGGCAAAGCTGGTGGGGATGGCGCCTGGGCCTCAAGCTGTCCCTCCACACAGGGCCGTAGCAACTGGCTTTCTGTCCATGGACCTGAAGCTCTGCTTGTCCCACAGATGCCCATCCTAGGCAGGGACACTGGGATGAGCAGCAGATATGACAGACTATGTTCATCAAACATTAGCCTGGGGTGGAAGGGATTTCCCATACTTGTCACTGGTTTAAAAATCAAGGAACAGGACCAAAAAATGTAGCCATAGGACCAAACACACTTACTGTTTCCCTTTTAGGTTTCTTGCTGGCCAGGGAGGCGGGGTACGACTTTGATTTTTTAAAGGGACACTGTCAAGATAAAAATCATATGTTTTACAACTACCCCCCTTCACATGCAATAGAGTGGGCTGAATGGGGTCTCTCTGGTTTGCTGTCTCCTAGGCTCACAGGGACCAAGAACTTCCAAAGCTTTGCGTGCACCAGAATCTCAGGGACTGTGGTGACTGCAGGTTTTGCTCGCCTCCGGGTAGGCTCTCTGCACATCCAGCCAGCCCCCAGGAGCTACACCAATGGTCCTACACTAAGTGTCCAGAGTGCGGAACTGGACCCCATACCTAAAGCCTTCACCATGGTTCCAGATCACCCAGAGCAGCAGGTTTGGTGTGAGAGTGGTCAGACACACTCTAAAGTGGGCCTGATTGGGTACAGGCAGAGACCCTGAGGCCATTAGGCCAAAGGTCCCCAACCAGCTCCTGGCACCTCTGTCAACCGTGTACCATCTCATAACTTATCACCAGCATTTAACTTAAGACAGCTGGGGAGAAAGCAGCCCCAAATCAACCCACTCTCTTATCTTAATAGGCTCAATGGAAAAAAACTTCCTAATCTGGGCTCTTTCTGGCACTATGTGGATAAGGCCCAGGAGTGAATATGGCAGCCAGCAAGGATCATCCACTTTGGGCTCTCGACCTTGCAGCAGGGAAGGCATAGACATGGGCCCTTCTGGGGCATGGAGCACGTAGACACGGGAGCTCATGTCAAGCCCTGGGCCTCACTGTACCACAGGACACACTTCAGCTGGTTCAGGGATAAGAAGGACTCACCAAACCCTCAGCCCAGGGAAGAAACAGGGAGGGACAAAAAAAGAAAAAAGAAAAAGAACCTGAGCATATGTGATGGGGCCTGGTGTTGGGAGCCCTGGTGCCCATGGGGGCACAGCAGGAAAAATCTGTGTGGCTGCCCAAGTTGGGGAATGACAGGGACCCACAAATCGTGTTTCCAGCTTTAAGACCACAACATCAGATTTTGAGAAAAGCCCTGAATCTGGGGTTTAAGAGGAATTTCTAGATGGTTAAAGGCTGGCCCAATTTTCAGGAACACTGAGTAGGCCCCTGGTCCTGCAACTGAGAGGAAGCTCCAAGAGTTGTCCTAAGTGCCAGCGCAGGGCTTTCTTCCTCTTTTTCTTTTTAAAAAGGCAGCAGGGCCTTTGAGAACCACTAGCACCAAAAACCCTCAGCTGACAGTAAGAAAAAGACTCATCCACTGACAACATGCACAGCCCGCGGGGAGCCTGAGACCTAACCCCATACCAGGTGGTCCACTGCCCCACATGCTCCCTGCCCACCATGCCCCCTGCCCTATCCATCTCAGCCTCTCCTCTGTACCATCTCTCCATGTCTTTCTCTTCACCACCTACTCTGTGTCTCTGCACCTGTCTCCCCCCATCCCCGTCTCTGTCTTTGGATCTCTCTCCCTGATCTCTTTGAGTTCTTAAAGCCAGAGCCCCACCTGCCTTGCCTGCCTGAGGTCCACCTGTAAGGTCTCTCTAGATCAGTGGTTCTCAACCTTCCTAATGCCATGGCTCTTTAATACAGTTCCTGTGGGTTGCAACCCACAGGTTGAGAACTGCTGCTGTAGATCAAGCCCCTTGGAGGGCACCTCATGAGGAAAACAACATGGCTCGTTCACTGAGAACCACAGAGTGTCCAGCTCCACCATTCTGTGGAGAGATGTGCAACATGTGCACTCAGCAACATCACAGGCTTAGCAGGAACAACAATAATCCCAGCAGTTGACATTCCTGGGCCCAGCCTGGTCACCCCAGTGAAGCCTCACAACCACCTGAGGGGCCACACCTGCCCACTGAATACATGAAGACAAAGGGGTGGTGGCTGTGCTGTCTGGGGTCTAGCTCCTCCATGCCCCCAGACAGGAAGGCACTTACAGAGTGTTCCTCATGGTCCAGGCTCTGGGCCAGCACGGGGCTGAAGGACACAGGGGATAGCGCTCCTGGCTTCTTCCGCACTGCCCGGATCTGCAGGAGGGCTCGGAAAGCTGGGCAGGACGGGGGGCTCAAGTCAGGCAGGGTCACCACCCAGAGGACCCTCCAGGCCCCCCACCCCACAGCAGTCCTAGGACAAACCAGAAAAGCTACATTGTGAGAAGCAAACAGTCTTAACAAAATAGTCCCAGAAGGGGAGACAAGCAAAGCCATGGGTGCTGCCCCAGGGGGCTCCCAAGCCTCATTGACCACACTCAGCTGTACACGAGACCCACTGTGAGCCCACAGGATATCGGGGACACAGGCTTGGCCCCAAGGAGCCAGCTGAGGGCAGGAGGAGAAGGGCATTCCTGACTGTGAGATGTCTCATGCTAGGTATACCAAGGGGCACAGAAAACAGCCACCAGGAGCACAGAAAATAAACTGGGACCTAGGATGCCACTGCCACACTGCAGTTGTCCTATTCACAAAGCAGGATGATCTTAAGACACTGCCCAGTGAGGAGCACAGGCCATAGGCCATGAGTAACAGGCTACAGAAGTAGGAACCCCAAACTAAACAAGATGGAGGAACTGCATCCTGGGGCAGGAGCTAAGGGGCCCAGGGCTGCCTCCCAGCTCTGTGCTTCTCAGTGCCCCCCACATTTTCTACACAGGGGAGCAGTGGCTGCCCATGAAGGGTCCCTCTACTGGCAAGGCCATACAGGGGCTCCACACTCGGGTCTGAGGACTGACCCGCAGAGTCCTACACACCAAAAGAAGCTAGAAGTTGGCCCTACAGCGCCTACCCAGCCACAGGCCTTCTCAGCTCCCTGGGCGCAGTCTGCTGAAGTCCACCAGACTATCCTTCCCTCAGGCCTCCTCAGAGACACTGTCCTGACTGCTCAGCACCCCGTTCTTCCCTCCCTCAGCTACTCACTGTCTGCCCTACACTTGGCCCAGGCCCTGTGAGCAGGAGATCCCCCTTCCCTTCCTGTGCCACCCCTGGCTCCAGGCCCTGTCTAGGAGACAGTGCACAGCCTGAGTTTCCTGGACACAGACAGCCTCCTATCTCCATGCCTGTCCACACCTCAGGGTACAGCAGCAGCCATCAAAAGAAAGACACAGCCATGGCTAAAGGCAGAGGTCCATAGCGGTCCATAGAGCTCCATGTCGGTGGCCAGCAGGGGAGGGGACTACCTGAGTGACAAGGGCGCTCGCCTAGCTGGATCAGCTCAAGAGCTAAACACTGCCTGGGGGCCTATGCTTCAACCCCCAGAAAAACTGTGGCGGGCCAGGAAGAACTGAGGACATTGCGCTCAGTGCCAGCTAGAGGTCCTGTCCCACACTGGGCTGACTCCCAGCCACGGAGCTCTATAGGAGCTCTATGGAAGCCTTGGCTTCTGGGGGGGATCTTAGGGTACTGGGATCTGAGGATGAGGGAAGGGAGGCAAAGGTGTCCTGTCAGAGCTGCTTCAAGACATGGGGGCACCTAGGCCAACCCCACACATAAGGCAACTCCCTTAAGAGCTGCTGCTCATGGTGTGGTGAGGGCACCATGGCCAGCATGTAAGGGCTACCCTTGGGACAGGATCGGTCCCCAGGGCCACCTGCTAGTAGGCACAGAGAAGAACCTTACCCCCACCCCTGGCTTAGGCCTGGCTGACTCCCTGGTCCCCGATCCCAACCTGTCTCTCTCATCCTCCAAGTACCCAGCCTCACACAGGTTGGCCCTGACCACCTCTCCCCCGAGGCCCCATTCTGCGTCGGCTGAGGCTTCATCCTGGGCTCCACACCCCCAGACCATGCACCCTTGTCCTCTACTCTGTATACCCAGCCTGCCCTGAGGAACTACCACAGCTCTCACATGAACATCTTTTCCATGGCCACCTGGCTTTCATGGGGATGAGCCCAACATGCTGTTAAGGCTGCTCTCAGGCAGCCCATACCTACCCTCTTCTTATCAGCTGAGGCTTCAGGTAAGGCCTCTCAGAGCCCCAAATAGCCCCAGGGAAGCCTCACAACTGGGCTTGGGCTACCATCCTTGCACAATCCCACATCCTGGCTCATGGGCTTGAGAACCCCTAAACAAATGTGCCCCGCAGTTCTGCAGGCACCTCCACATCGTCCCTGTACCCACTGCCAGGACCCAGAGGAGTCAGGGCCACTGCCCACTAGCCAGAGACTCATTTTGACCTGCTGGGTTTTCTTATCCTGAGATGGTTTGGGTTCCCTCTATTGGAAGACAAATGACATTCAGATTTACACCCAACATGATGCTCCAAAAAACCAAAATCAATTTTCTACCTAGCACACTTTTCTGGTTTCGGCTCACTGTAACTTTTTATCAAAATATTTTCTACTTACTTTAAAATAAAGATTTCATTCACTGATCAAATCTTGTCCAGTTCAAATGGCACTACAAACATTTGCCCTAGAGCACCTCTGAGGCCCTTCATTCTGGAAGTCTGATTTCTCTGACAGCAGACTGTGAAGACAGGCACGGCACACATGCTGGTGCACTTGCCATCAGTGCTAATGTCAAAGAACTACCTTGGCCATGTAACAATGCACCATGTACTGGATCAAAAACCAGTGGCCTGGCTCGGCGCCTGTGGCTCAAGTGGCCATGTGGCACCAGCCACATACACCTAAGGTGGCAGGTTCGAATCCCCAGCCCAGGCCCGCCAAACAACGATGGCTGCAACCAAAAAATGGCCAGGCGTTGTGCCGGGCGCCTGTGGTCCCAGCTACTTGGAGGCTGAGGCAGGACACTTGCTTGAGCCCAGGAGTTGGAGGTTGCTGTGAGCTGTGATGCCATGGCACTCTACCCAGGAGGATAGCTTGAGGCTCCATCTCAAAAAAAAAAAAAAAAACCCAGTGGCCCTTTACTTCTTAGCCAGCACGGGACCTATAGCTCCAGGACCCCCTGGCTCAGAACCACTGTGGCATGGCTAGGCCCTGATCCATGGAGCCTTCCAAGGGGTGGCAGCCCAAGGCACTCACGTAGCCGACAGATGGGGCAGTTGTTGGCCTGGTAGCGCAATGTGTCCGCGCAGGAGGTGCAGAGGCACAGGTGGCGGCAGGGCAGGATCAGGGTGTCTCGCAGGTCGGAGAGGCACACCACACACTCGTTGCTGTTGTCACTGTTCTCATCATCTGAGGGCTGCAGGGACAAAGACCTGGGAGTCAATGGCTTCACCTTGCCCAGAACAGCCAGCCCTTTGAGCTGCCAGCTATGCCACCTGCTGTCCCTTCCCTTCTGTCACTAGAGGGCAGAAGGAGGTGACCTTGGAGCTGAACTCCAGAAACAGCCCCAAGTGCTGAGCACCAGGCTCAAATCTCGGCCACGCCGAGCACATAGCTGCAGAGAGAACCTGTGCCTCTGCCCATCTAAATCATGAGAATCCAGGCCGCTTTCTGCTCTTCAGACCCAAAGAGGAAATATGGAAGAGCCTTGCCAATAGGAACCTTCACAATGACTGAGATATCCACTATCTGGTTATGAAAAACAGCAAGGCCAGGCTCAATGGCTCACACCTAAAATTCCAGAGCTCTCAGAGGCTGAGGAGGATCACTTGAGCTCAGGAGCTCAAGACCAGCCTAAGCAAGAGCAAGACCCTATTTCTATTAAAAATAGAAAAATTAGCCAAGAGTGGCATGTGCCTATGGTCCCAGCTACTTGGGAGGCTGAAGCAAGAGAATTGCTTAAGCCCAAGAGTTAGAGGTTGCTGTGAGCTGCAATGCCACAGCACTCTACCAAGGATGACATAATGAGAATCTGTCTCAAAAAAAAAAGGCAGCACCTGTGGCTCAAAAGAGTAGGGCATTGGCCCCATATGCTGGAGGTGGTGGGTTTAAACCCAGCCCCAGCCAGAAAGTACAAAAATAAAAAGTGCAAAAATCTAAAACAGATGAACAAAATAGAGCCACAGCCTCTTTCTATAAATAAAGTTCTACTGGAATTCAGCCACACCCACTTGCTTTGATATTATCTGCAGCTGCTTCTGCCTCTGATGGCACTGAGTAGATATGATAGAGACCCTGTGGCCCATACAGTGAGAACACTTAGCATCTGCCCTTTTTCAGGAAGTTGGCCAACCCCCAGTGTAAAACTTGTGGATGAGCAGAGTGCCCTCAGTTGAGGGGAGGCCTGGCCAGAATCTCTCACCTCCCCAGCTTCCAGTTAGGTTCCGGCTGTTGTGGGTCCAGATGCCACATTGAAAGTGTCAGTGGGGAGGCGCCTGTGGCTCAGTGAGTAGGGCACCGGCCTCATATACCGAGGGTGGCTGGTTCAAACCCAGCCCCGGCCAAACTGCAACGAAAAATAGCTGGGCGTTGTGGCGGGCGCCTGTAGTCCCAGCTACTTGGGAGGCTGAGGCAGAAGAATCGCCTAAGCCCAGGAGTTGGAGGTTGCTGGAGCGACTCCGCTGCACTCTACCAAGGGCGAAAAAGTGAGACTCTGTCTCTACAAAAAAAAAAAAACCCAAAAACCCTTCCCCCTCCATTAAAAAAAAAAAAAAAAGTGTCAGTGGCATCTGACACTTTCAGAGAGATTTTAACAAATAGGTAGCAGAATCCCTTTAAAAAGAATGAAAAAAACAGGGTCCAATTTTATTTTCTGCAACTGTTCCCTGGCCATGCTTGACTACACCTTGGGTCTGTCAGCCATCACAGCTGCTTCTATGGACATCTAGAATGGGGCATCTGTCCACCAGCACTGCATGGGCTCCCTATCTGCCAGGAGGAGGGAGTCAGCCGCCAGTGGGGAGTGTAGGCTCCAACAAGGCAGCACAGCTGCCAGGGGAGGGCAGGAGGCACTCCCCAAGCTGCCTTGGGACATGGACGGCAATTTACCTAAGGCAGTGAATTTGCTAAGAAAAGGCAAAGTGTTCTATAAACTTTGTTAACTTTTTAAAAAAATTAACAAAAAATGATGAGACCCGGGGGCCCAGAAGCCTAGTCGCTCCCAATAAGTGGCTGAGTAAAGGCAGAAGGAACTAGGGAGTGAGGCTGGCCTGACCCCCAGCAGGTGCCAGACACACAGACACACCTTGGTCTCCTGGTTGTTCTTGTTCTCGATGCCGTAGATCTCCTGCAGCAGGTAGCTGACCCGGTCCACCTGAGAGCAGAGAGGGGCTCGCTGGGCTCCTCTGTACCCACTTGGCCCAACACTACCTCTAAGGTGCCAGGTTTGGGTCCCGGGAGCAAGTATGTTAAAGGTGCCCAGGACAGAAGTAGGTAAAACCTGCCACTTACCTAGCCCAACCAGCGGTCTGCCGGCCATGCAGAGCCTGCAGTCATGCAAGGCCTACAGTCATGCCCTCTGCCTACCTTCCCATGCCAGCACTAGGGGAAAACCACTTGGACCTACCTGTTACCAGCCCTACAAGGGCTACTGGAGTAGATGCCTAAAGGCCTGAGATTTCAGCCCAAGAGCCTACCACCTCCCTACGTCTCCTTCCACAGTACATGAAAACACCTCTGGTTTGGTCTCAGAGACACCAAACCAATTTTTATAAAGTATATAAAAAATATAAGGTGAGGGCCTGCCACTCACTCCCTGAAGGCTTCACACTGACTGTGTTTCAAAGCGATCTAAGCTACTAGATTTCCCACAATCCCACGGAACATGAGCACCACTCCAGAGAGCAAGAGTCCTGCCAGTCAGCTCTCCCAAGATGAGTGCTCTGACTGTCACTGGAGTTTCCTGTCTTCCTGGGTTCTTCAAGGGTCTGGACCCACCAAAGTTTGCTATGTCTCTTCTCTTGAAAGCTAACAAACACCATTCCCAAGAGATGGCTTAAAATAAGTTACACACACCTAAGCAGCGACATGTAGGATAACTAACACAGCTTTGGAACACAGACCCTAGCCACAGCCTGCTAAAATCAGTCCCAAAGGCCAAGCATAGTGGCTCATGCCTGTAATCCTGGCATACTGGGAGGCTGAGGCAGGTGGACTGATTAAGCTCAGGAGTTCAAGAACAGCCTGAGCAACAGTGAGACCCATCTCTACTAAAAAAAAACAGAAAAATTAGCTGGGCACTATGGCCCACACCTGTAGTCCAAGCTACTTGGGAGGCTTAAGCAAGAATATCATTTAAGCCCAGAAGTTTAAGGTTGCTGTGAACACTATGGCACACTAGTGTGGGCAACAGAGTGTGAGACTCTATCTCAAAATAAATAAAGGCTCAGCACCTACAGCTCAGTGGCTAGGGCGCCAAGCCACATACACCAGAGCTGGCAGGTTCGTATCCAGCCCGGGCCCGCCAAACAATGACGACTACAACCATAAAATAGCCAGGCTTTGTGATGGGTGCTTGTAGTCCCGGCTACTTGGGAGGCTAAGGCAAGAGAATCATTTAAGCTCAAGAGTTTGAGTTTGCTGTGAGCTGTGACGCCACAGCACTCTACCAAGAGTGACATAATGAGACTCTATCTCAAAAAAAAAAAAAAAAAAAATCAGTCCCCATATCAAGATCTGACAATGCTCACATTCGAGGATCCCATCCCTTTAAATTTTCACAGTGCTTAAGTGGGAGGGCCACCAGGAATAACTCTTCCCAGAGCAGGACCTCAATTCCTGACCCCAAAGAAAAGCTGAACCTAGTCCACAGCTCATGTGTTCCAGAGTATTTCATCCTTTACAAATACTGATGAAGTCAATCAAACTCTCTACCCCACACTGAAATATTTTCAGGAATTTGTAAGAAGCGAGAGAGGAGGGTACAGTCCTTCTGTTGCCTGTCTCTTTCCTTCCTCTTCCATTTATTCAGCTGATGTTTACTGAATGCTACTATGTTCCAAGCACCATGGTTCAAAGTGGGTAAAACTCAAGGTCTATGAATGTCGTTGCTGGTCCCAGGTGGGTAGACCATACATGCACAGACACTCAAAAATAGGCCTGGCATCCCAGGGCTCAGAGCCCAGCAGGAAGACATGTTAGCCAGCTCTCACGCAGTTGTTTCAACAGCGACTGCAGGGGCCCAGGAGGATCAGGCCACAAAGACTACTGAAGTGTGTATCTTAAATCAAATGAGGCCATGATACTTCATCAGACAGACTTACAATTTGCTTCTGCTTTAAAGGCTTCACAGAGAAGCTGCCATCCACATGCTGCAGGGAGGGGGAAAGAAACAGAAGTTAGTATAGTTGGTGTGGCCCCCTCAGCATTCCTGCTCAGCCATTGCCACATAAAGGCAAAAGAGCCACGCCAGGATCTACCAAATGTGGCTATCGGACCTTACTGTGCAACTACTTGGACAGCCTTCTAAAAACACAGCTCCTGGCCCCAGAGAAGACCTATTGAACCCAACTTTCCTTGGGTAATCCTAACGCTTGCACAAGTTGGCCACTCAGTCAAGTCTAGAAGATGGACAAGAACCTCCCCATACCACAAAGCCACACCTTGACAGCAAAAATTAAGACAAACAAGTTCTTGCTCTCAAAGGGTCCAGTTTAGTTAGGGAGACAGCACAGAGCATGCACACATGCACAAGAATGCTCAGGGCTCTAAAAACCTAAGGATTATTGAAAATAAACACCTTCAGTGGGTGTCCAGGGAAATACACTGCTCAGAATTCAACAAGGTTAATTAAGGTATCAGATCTGAGAACTTGCAACAATACTATCCCTTCCAGAGTCCATCAGACCAGCACTCAGAATTTTCTGGTGAGGCTCATGGGTCATAAAAGAAATTTCCAGAATGCTAGACTCCAAAAATAACGCAGTTTTTAATTGGGCTTTAAATTGGAAGTGCAGGGCGGCACCTGTGGCTCAGTGGATAGGGTATTGGTCCCATATACCGAGGGTGGTTCAAACCCGGCCCCGGCCAAACTGCAGCAACAACAAAAAAATAGCTTGGCGTTTTGACAGGCACCTGTAGTCCCAGCTACTCGGGAGGCTGAGGCAAGAGAATCACCTAAGTTCAGGAGTTGGAGGTTGTTGTGAGCTGTGATGCCACAGCCCTCTACTGAGGGCAATAAAGTGAGACTCTGTCTCTAAAAAAATAAAATAAAATAAGAAATAAATTGGAAGTGCAGAAGGGATTGTCTGCCAAACACGATCCATCTGCCTCAGCCAGGGAACACAAATGTGTAACAGTTACCATCTCTTCCCACAAGGCAAAGCGTGGGGAATGCAGTGGCCAAGCCCAGCACTAACCAGGGAGGAGGCAGAGACCCAGGGCACTCAGCTCACCATGGTCAGCACTCTGACCCTGGGAAAATACAGACCTAACCACACCACAAGGTAAATAGATCAGAAGGGCCCTGATCCCCAATTGTAGGAACCCACCCTAGGGAGCTTTGGAAAGACCCACAACACAGGACCAAGCCCAAATCTGCACTTGAAGCTTTTAGGGGCTGCAGCAGCATGTCAGGGAAAGAGCAAGGTTTGGTAGCATTCAAGCATTTTGGGAGGGCCCCAATGAGCAGTCTGCTACTGGGTGGGCTCCTTGACACTTTGGGGGAACAGGCTGGTACTGAGAACATGCACAACTGCAGAGTGCTAATGATGTCAGGCCACACAGGGTGTGGGGGTGCATTATCACACACAGATACCCCACTACCTCCAGCAAAGTTATCTGCGAGCAGGGACATGTGGACCTGGGGCCACGCTAGACAGCAGACCCACATGCATCCTGCCAGCATTCCCTGAGCATCTGCTACCTGCCAGGCATCATACTCGGCTCCAAGGATACATACAGCCCAAGGGGCCATTTCTGCCCTCACGAGCATCAAGCAAGTTGCCCCATCAAGCAAGTTGCGCTGAGCAGTCAGGAAAGGCCTCCTGCAGTGAGTGAGGTCTGCCCAGCATGCACAGCAGCCAGGCTGCTATAGTCAGAGGAGGAAGGGGCAGAAGGCCTTAGTGAGACTATGACAGGTCCCAGGTACACTCAAAGGGAATGGCCAGGTGGGAAAGGGTATGGCCAACACTGACCATCTCTCCACATGCCAGTAAAGCATTAATCTGTGGCAGGAAGCTCTCCATATAGATATCCCAGCCCTTGTGTCAGCAGATTCTAAAGGGTTCTATAGGGTTGGGTCTCAGTCTAGAGCAGCAGTTCTCAACTTGTGAGTCGTGACCCACAGGAACTTTATTAAAGGGCCACAGCATTAGGTAGGTTGAGAACCACTGGTCTGGAGCATTCTCCTTGCCACATTTTAAATGCCCTTTGAAAAGCCTCCTGATGGGACGTTCAGCCTCAGGACCAATCTCCTGGGAAGTACAGACTAATGGAGGACTCTTCTGCCTGCCCTGGCCCTGACACTCAGCCCAAGTCACCAAGCCCTGATCCTATACTCAGGCTTCTAGCCTCAAAAGGGCACCCTGCTGCCCCTAGCTCCCAGGCCCTAGGAACAGTGGGAGCCAGACACTTACCTTTTCAAAGGCAGCCAAGAGCACATGGGCATGGCCAGTCACTTCCACAACTGTAGGGAGAGTTAGACAAAGTGGTCAGAGCTGAAGCAGGCCTGTCTCAATCTAGCCTCTCTATCTTCCCAGCACTTGACCTAGAGATCAGTCCAGGGACTGCTCCAGCGCTTCAGCCTCCTCTGCCTAGGGGCCCCCCACAGCTGCCTGGGCAGCTCCCCAGCCTCCCTCACCCTCTGAGTTACCCTACATGGCAATCCCAGAGCCTGGACATGCATTGCACTGACATCCTTCACTTTGGGAAGAGGTTCCGTATGCTGACCAAGATGAGAAGGACCTCTGGAAGCAGCTCCCTCCCTGCAGGGCCCCATGCTCAGAAGGGAGGACAGAAGAGGACAAGCCAATGTCACTCACCATCTCCTTCATCCACCACAGCCTGGATGACGACTGGAAACACACCCCGGTCCAGGTCAAAGTTCAACTGGGAGGAAAAGAGGCAAGAATGCTCAGGACCTGCAGCAGTCAAAGCAGGGCTGAGCTGGAGGGAGAGGCTGGTAAGCAGGTCTGAATAGGAGAAGGTGGACGCCTGGCTTGGTACTTCGGGGGGGGGGGTTGGTGGTAAAATACATGTAACATAAACGTTGCCACTTTAACCATATTTAAAACCATCAAGTACATTCATAATGTCATGCAGCTACCACCATCCACAGTCAGAACTCTTCCTCATCCCACACAAAACGCCACACCCAGGGCCACTCACTCCCTGGCCCACAACCCCCACCAATCTGCGCTGTCCTGATGGATTTGCCTCTTCATTGCCACATTTCATACAAGTGGAATCACACAGCAGGTGGCCTTTTGCATCTGGCTTCTTTCACTCAACACATGTTTTCAGAGCTTACCCACACTGTGGTACAAATCAGTGCTTTCCTCCTCCTACACCTCGTAACATTCCTCAGTGTGCCCAACCCTCGTGTGTGCACATTTATCTGTGGATGGGCACACAGGTTGTTTCTCCTTCTTGGCTACTATGAACACTGATGTACAGAGCCTGCTGGAACCTGTGCTTTTGTTCTCTTGGGTACCAGCTCAGGTGCAAATGCTGGGTCATATGGTAACCGTGTAACTCTCTAAAGAAAAGAGCATGCCATGCCTTGCCTCCCCCAAGCCAGAAGGAAAGAAGGCCACATAGCACGTCTTCTCATGCTTTTCATTACACCCACCTGCACTCAGACTAACAGCTACTCCCCTATCTGCAGCCCTCAGCCCCACGGCCCTCAAGGTCCCAACAGCCAGCTCCCTACACAGCATGGTGGCCAGTCTGGCCTCCTTGTTCCTCACAAGAGCCATGCAGGCCAATTCCTATTCGGGATCTCAAGAAAGGTTTTCCTGGGCCCCCAGGTGTGGTAGATCCCCATGAACACCCTCTCAGCCCCTAAGCTTCTCTGTATCACTTTTACCCATCACATCAAGAAAAGCCACTGGATCATCACCAGCCCTTGCTGGACAAGACCCAGGAAGCAGACACCCTGCCTGACTAGTCAACATCACATCCTCAGTGTCTGCCACAGAAGCAACAGACATATGTTGGGGGAAAGTCAAGATTTATTTTTCAATAACAATTTACTAAAAGAACAGATGATAACCAGCTTGGCACCTGTGGCTCAAGCGGCTAAGGCGCCAGCCACATACACCTGAGCTGGTGGGTTTGAATCCAGCCTGGGCCCGCCAAACAACAATGCTGGCTGCAACCAAAAAATAGCCGAGTGCTGTGGCGGGCACCTATAATCCCAGGTACTAGGGAGATGGAGGCAGGAGAATCGCTTAAGCCCAGGAGTTGGAGGTTGCTGTGAACTGTGATGCCAAAGCACTCTACTAGGGTGACAGCTTGAGGCTGTCTCAAAAAAAATAAAAAAATAAAAATAAATAAAAGAACAGATGATGGTCACACCACTCTGAAGACACACTAAACCCCACTGATTGTACAATTAAAGTGAGTGAACCATGTGATATGCAAATCTTAACACAATACAGGGGTTAAGAAACAGAACATAACAAAAGATGGATAAAATCCCAAAGAGGAAGGGTCTAGTGGGACTGGCCCAGGCAGGCCCTTCCCTCCAAATGCCTAGAAGAACAGGCCTCACTTAAGCAAGACCACCCATGGGGATGGGGTCAAACACTATAGTCTGTCTCCAGTAGCCACTGGCCCTGCAGAATGTCACAGCAGCTACTCCTGGTCTCATGCACTAAAATCCCAAGACCACAGCTAAGCACCATCCTGTAAACGGACATTCAGAAACAATAGGATCCCCCTACTGGAAGATGCCCAGGTTTCCCTTCCTGCGCAGTATCAGGTAGGATAAGCCTCGAGCAGGGACACATAGGACTAATCTTCCTTCTCCAGCTGTCCCTCCATGAGACAGCAAAAGCAGAACTGACCACATGTTCCCACCCTAGTAGCCCAGGGGGACTTTCACCTCAAGTCCTCCTCCCTTTCTGAGCCTCAATTTCTGCTCTGTGAACTGGGGTTATTATACCTACCATATTAGGACAAAGTGCTAATGAAGTGCTCTCCTAGGTGTAGCCCCAGCAAACACCCTGCAGTTCCCAGGCCACACCAGGCACACTTTGTTCTGCAGGGGCTCCACACTGGCAGGTGACCTAGCCCCATTGGCAGACAGCTACAGCAGGCTTCCTGCCACCTAAGATCCTAGAACTCCACTCCTGGAGGAAAGCAGGGCTCTGGGAGCCCAACACTGTGTCCCCCAGTGCACCCACACCTGCCCCAAGCATCCTCGCACCAGCACCTCAGCACCAATACTGACATGGGCCACTTCATTCTCTGCAGAGCTTCATTTGGACTTTTTCTTCCCATTGCACTCTATAAACTGAATGCTGACAAGTGCATTTTGCTGGTGTTGGAATGAAAACCGGCGGTCCAGGGAGGTGTGGGTGGTGGACCCACTAGCAAGGAGTGACCACTGCTTGTTTCTCCCCTCTCCAGCTGGCAGCCCCCCCTCCCCACCTTGTAAGCACTCTGCAGACCACTCACCTATTCCTCATAGCCACCATGGGAGAAAGGGAGAGAGGGATTGCCAGGGCTCTAGCTACAGATGGAAGAACCAGAATCAAAGAGCTACAGGTCTCTCCCAGGTTTAGAGAGAAGCAGAGAGCTGAGTCAGCCTCCTGGCCTCTCGACCTGCATTCTCCCTGCTTCTGAGAAAGGTCACCACTGCCGCCATAGGCAGTCTTGTATTTCTCTTACCAACCCTGACCCACCTGGGGGCTCCTCCCCAACCTGTCTAAACCCTACCTAGAAGGTGCGAGCAGCTCCATCTTTAGCTGCCCAGCCTTGAGCAACATCTTCAGGAGGCTACACCCTAGTTTTCCTCAGGGAGCCACCTCTCTGGCCAAGAATGGTATGCTCCAGCCCAAGTAGGGGCCACAGAAGGAAAGCACACACAGCCTCCTGGACCTATACCAGGACACTCACAATGCTGGTCTGCAGAGCACTGCCTGAGAGCAAGGCCAGCTCTGGGTACAGGGGGAGGGACTCCGCCCCCATGACATGGCCCTGGAAGAAATCTCAAGCCATGCAGCCTTTTCAGAACAAATGCCAATAAATCCCTGGTTTTCTTTCCTTAAACCAGACTAAGATGTCTTTCTGTCACTTGCAGCCACAAGAATCCCAATAATGCCGCCATTCGGCAGGCTCTGCTGCAGTAGCTGGCCCTGCCGCCTGCTCATAGTCAGCCTGGCCAGTGGTCAGTGGAGCCCAGGGTCATAGTTAGCATAGATGCCCATTCAACTTCCTCAGCACACTTACTGAAGACAGGGACAGAGATGAAGACAACCAGGGCCACCACGGCCCCAACTTCCTCCATGGAACCAGGGCCATGGTGCTATGGTCCCTCAGATGCTGGCTACCTTCTCTGCAGTTCCACAGCTCACACCCATCCCAGCTACTCACACAGAGGATGAGGCGCCCCAGAAGACACAGGGGAGGAACCCCAGGGAAGGTGGGAGCCAGAGGCCGGGTATGGTGTCTCACGCCTATTATCCTAGCACTGGGAGGCTAAGGCAAGTGGGCTGCCTGAGCTCACAGGTTTGAGACCAGCCTGAACAACAGCAACAACCCATCTCTAAAAATAGCCAGGCGTTGTTGTGGCAGGCACCTGTAGACCCAGCTACTCAGGAGGCTAAGGCAAGAGAATTGTTTAAGCCCAGGAGTTTGAGGTTGCTGGGGGCTATGATGCTATGGCATTCTACCAAGAGCAATAAAATGAGACTCTGTCTCAAAAAAAAGGGAGCCAGGACTATCCCCCACAGGAAGTCCTGCTCCCCAGTGCTCAGCACACACACACTGTGTATTACCCACAAGTCACCACAGAGCGGGGCACACAATCCAAATAATGCTGGGGGAGAATAGATACTCCTGTCTACCCAAAGGAGTCCCAGAGAGATGCTTAATTTATTTTTAATGTAAGGATGAGGGAGGCTTTCATAGGGAAAACCAGCTGCTGTCAGGGAAGAGCTGAGGCAGTTGGCACCAACATGGGTCACACTCAAGCTCTCAGCCTCTCTCAGCCTGGGAGAGGCCAGTGTGTTAAATGTCTCCTCCCAGGCTCATACTATGGGGCTTCCACTGGTAAACAGGTGCCCTAGATAAGGGTCTTTGCAAGCTCCAAGCCAAATGGACACTGGAAAATAAGGCACAGAATGAAGGAGGGAACACATGGCTTTGACTGAAATAAACAGAAGCTAGGAGTAGCTAGCAAAGAAGTCACTTTGCATGCAGACTGCAAAAGGCCTTGAAGAGACTTGTGGGTAATGATGCAAAAAGATGTCCATAGCATGATTTAGAAAAACATAACAGGGACTCGGTGTCCGTAGCTCAGTGGTTAGGGCACCGGCCACATACACCAAGGCAGGTAGGTTCGAACCCAGCCGGGCCTGCTAAACAACAATGACAACTACTACTAAAAATAGCCAGGCATTGTGGCAGGCGCCTGTAGTCCCACCTACTTGGGAAGCTGAGGCAAGAGAATAGCTTAAGCTCAAGAGCCAGAGGTTGCTGTAAGCCAGGGGTCCTCAAACTTTTTAAGCAGGGGACTAGTTCACTGTCCCTCAGACGGTTGGAGGGCCAGACTGTGGACCCCGGGACAAGTCGGCTGCTATGCAGGACAGGCTGTGGCGGCAAAAACACCCAACGGGCCAGATAAACGTCCTAGGCAGGCCACGGGCTGTAGTTTGAGGACACCTGCATAAGCTGTGATGCCATGGTACTCTACTGATGGCGACATAATGAGACTCTGTCTCAAATAAAAAAACCCCATAACAGTAAAAGGTTGAGGGAAGCCACCAAGAGTGAAGAGATCCTGCTGCACTGTGGTTCAGGGTCCTGATGGCCATAGATGGAGCCAGCCAGCACTCAGCTCCAGCCTCAAGACCATCCCTGGGCAGCCACCCTGGTGCTTAAAGTGTGTGTGGAAGGATCTGAACTATCAGGCCTTGTTTCCGTGAACCCCACCCACAAGAAGAGAGAATTCGGGAAAAGGGGCAAGGGAGAGAAAGGGCCTGGCCGGGTTACCTCATCATCCTTCCATTCGGAAAAGTCGATCTTGAAGGAGGGCAGGGAGAACTGCTGGCTCACCCCTCTCTTGTAGTGGACGGTCTCAGACTGCAGCTGCGAGTTCTTGGGGCTATACCTGAGGGCATCCAGGAGGAAGGTGGTGAGACTGGGGCAGCCAGGGGCCCTTATATAGTTCTGATGACCAGCACGGCAGGCACCACCTACCTTCTGGGGACCCGTCTGGTGGGGGGGTCAGGAAGCACCCTACATAGCCATAAAGCCCTTGCCCTTTCACAGCTCCTACTGCCTCTCTGCTCTCCACACAGCTCTGTCAGCCTGTGGCTATGCCTTTCCACCAGGTGCTAAGTTTGTTTCCTTCTTTGAAGGAACACAATGCCAAAGCACACACAGTGGAAGACACATGCTCCACTCTGCCCCAGAGACTCCACATATCACTCCTCGGGGACTCCTGGGATTCTTCCACTCTTTCACTCTCTGATACAGCCAGAAACGGTCCCACCATCATCACAAGTGAAGCATTTCTGTCTTCTCTGAACTACTACACAGGACCCACTGCAGTTTTACTCTGATTTGACCAGGCTCTTGGGGAACACTAGGGGGTCTCCCACATCTCACCAGTCCCAATACTACCTCAAGGATCAGCCTTGTGCAGCTGTCCTGGCTACCCTACGAGCATATCCCCAAGATAAAGAGTCCTAGAAGAGAAGAAGCTGGGTTAAAAGGTGCACACATTCAATGCTGATGGACTCTGGTGTCTCCCAACTCAGGAATCCAAAGCACAATCTCACCACTGCCATCACTCCACCTACTGTCAGCAGGGCCTCCCTGAATCTCTTGGACAAGGACCTTGGCATGTCAGCTTAAAGACTAGGAGGTTTTGCTATTATACGATAGCACAAAGATAGGAGAGGCCCCAAACCTGTCATCAGGGCCTCAAGGGAACTCAGCTCTCTGCCCCCAAGAAAGGGCTTGAGTTGGGATGTTGTTCTTAGACAGACCTGGGCAACTCCTTCCATCAGAGCCTATTTCCTTGTCAAGAAATGGGAAAAGGAATGGGCACAGTGGCTCACGCCTGTAATCCTACCACTCTGGGAGGCTAAGGCAGATATTGCTTGAGTTCAGAAGTTTGAGACCAGCCTCAGCAAAAGAGAGACTCCTTCTCTACTAAAAATAGAAAAACTAGCCCAGCATTGTGGTAGGCACCTGTAGTCCAGGCTACTCGGGAGCCTGAGGCAAGAGGATAGCTAGAACTCAGGAATTTGAGGTTGCTATGAGCTATGACGCTATGGCATTCTACCTAGGAAAACAGAGTGAAACTCTGTCTCAAAAAAAAAAGGACATGGGGAAAGTGGCTTGTCCTACAGCTCAAGAGGACAGAGCATTTCCAGTCTGGCTGGGTCCTGGAGTCTCTCCCTTTTCTCGTGACTCTGGCTCAGGTATCACTCAAGCCCAGCACTCTGGGAGGGGAAATAAGCCCACACCAGGTCCCTAAGAGAGAGAATGTGGCATTTCTGTCATTCCCCATCCCCCCCAGGGTTCCAGGACACAGTTACACTAGGCAGGTCTGCAAGTCATCCTCTGCTTTTCTGGCTCTTTGGGTGGCAGCAGAACCCTCTCCTCATGCACACTGAGACAGTCGGCCAAGGCCTGACATAAGGCTACTCAGGCTGCTCACCTGGGGTGGTATATCTGATCTTGACCCATATCCTCTCTGAGGCAGCCCCCAGGCACCTCCCCAGAACCTGGGCTCCTCCATCACAGTGATTGCACCCAAGGAAAACAAGCCACAGGAGCACCAGCTATCACACGAGGCCCAAGGAGGGGGGCACCAAGCCCACATTGAGAGTGCCATGCTTACCCCCAGAGCAGCAAGGAGCAAGGAGTGGGCAGAGGGGCTTGCTGTGGTCCCGCCCAATGCTTCTGTACCGGCGCACTCCCCACCTGTGGTAGTACACGTTAAAGTAACCAAGTGTGAGGTAGAAGTGAAGCCTCAGGCTCGGCGCCTGTGGTCCCAGCTACTTGGGAGGCTGAGGCAGGAGACTCGCTTGAGCCCAAGAGCTGGAGGTTGCTGTGAGCTGTGATGCCACAGTGCTCTACCCAGGGGGACAGCTTGAGGCTCTGCCTCAAAAAAA